AGTGGATATTCCAGAGAAGCTTCATGTTTAGCGAGTAGCGTGTTATCACTTTCACCAACAAGAGTGATTGTTCTAGAGAGACATGTAGCTATGCAAGTTGCGTGTGGCCACTTTTGTTCATGAAAGTGAACACGCGCACAACTTGACTTCCAGCGTTGCCACTTTTATGAAGAAAAGTGATCGCTCCAGTCTCAGAGAACAATAGATAAGCCTCTGCGTGACTACTCTTGTGAACAAGAGTAGTAACGCGCTCATGGCAGAAAATCTATAAATTGAAGAAACGCTCAGATCTTTGGATCTTTGATTCATTTTTCACTTCCACTTAGTTTTCTAGTGTGGAGAGAGTCTGAGAGAGAGATTAGGGACAAACATTGAGCTTCAACCTAGAGGAATCAGATTGAAGATGTCTCTGCTGCATTTATTCTCCTCTTCTCTTTCTTTTTCTTTCTCTACTGTAATGGTTGTGTAAATTCTTCATATTTAGGGATTGTGGATCCAAAACGAATGTGTTGAATCGATTCTATATCTGACTGTTGGGTATTGGAATGGATTGAGTGATTGATTCTGTATTTCCAGCAGTGATTGAATGGAAGTTTGATTAACTAAATACAGAAGAACTTTTGTCAATGGAAATTGAATTTGTTCTTCAGATCTGAATCAATTACCAGGATTTTAGCTTTCTTAGGGATAAGAGAACTTGATCTTACAATCTTCTGGTTTTTAACACTTAAAGCAACATTTAATTGGACCAAATCTAAGGAATTAGAGTGATTTGATTAAATGTTAGGTTCATTGAGTTAAGGAATTAACCTTTGAATAATACAATGTGAAACTGATTGTAATTTTTTCTAATTACTTGAAAGTTCAGAACTTTATTGATTCAACATTGAAGTTTTGGTGAAATAACTCCCTAGCTATGTTTTCCACATATGTTAATCACACATTTGCATGTTCATTGTTCTGTTTCTCTTTCTGATTTCAATATTTGTCACTTTTATTTCCAAACTCAATAGGACATCTGTGAAGCTCAACTAATTGTGGCCTTGTGAAGTGATAATTGAATAATTTTATTCTCTGAGAACGATACTTGGGACTCTAACACAATTCTATCATTTTTATAACTTGCTACATCAACACTAGTATACTTGTTAGTCAAATTTACTTCTCTTTAGAAGTGTGACATTTCTTCTCTGAAAGTTTTATTTATGATGATTATCCTCTAGTCCTTGACTAGAAGTAAATATGTTTTACACTTACCTCTTTATAAGGATCCTGTGTATCAGAAAACTTCTGGATTATGATCTAATTGCTATGGTCTTTCTTATTATAACTATGGTAGATTGTATAAGCAAATATCTAAGAAAAATGCATAGAGGTTGTTCAAAGTATCAAAAATTGTTTATGGTTTCTATCATTGTTATGATATTGAAGGCTCCCATATATATATATATATATATATATATATATATATATATATATAAACATTATTTTTAAATAGGCAACAAGGATGAAATATATTAATTGTTTTCTTTTCGTATTACATAAACTTGTTTTTAGTTTTAATTTTTCTTCTTTCTTGCTTTCTCTCTCTCTTTTATATTATCCTCTCCCTTTTTTATTTGTTTAATTTTTTTCTATCATTTTTTCTTTTTATATGTGATTATCCCTTTTCATCATCCTCTGTTTATTGGATTAACAGAAACAACTTGGAGACTTTGACAACTAGAAAGGAAGTTAGCTTGTATAATAAGTTTTGTCTTATCCCTAAGAAACTTTAAACACAATTTAAAGAATAAGTTAATTTTTGTTAGGTATTTAAATAAGTTAACGCAAAAATAAGTTCTCTACTCTTTAAGATGAAAATAACTTAAAAACGGTTAAAATAGATTTACAAATTAATTTAAAATATTGCTAACCATTATACTAAGGATTCAGATCTCTCGCAGTTCATGGGAGAATTACAGGGTTTTGTGAAACTAAGCTTGCCCTAGGCCAATTTGGCCTAGAAGAGGTAATTCAAAATGCAAGGCATCTTGAAGATTGGGAATCTACCAAGTTATCTTGGCATAAGCAAGACTAAGAAATATGAGTCAATAAAACAATGACTAAATAAAAAATAGGACTCAAAACTCCTTCCAAGAAAATTCTGCTATTATTGCTGAGCATATACCTTTATAATACAACATCAACTACTGACAATGTCAATGTGTGGATATGGTAGTTAAACTGACCCACCCTTGCACCTCATTAACCACTGGACTCCAATAGTCACCTACCATCAATCATGATTCATCCAAACAAGTTCATACAATTATTCAAACTAATTTGTTTAGCAAACACTCAAATTTATATATAAAACGATTGAGTAAAAATTATCAGACACCCCACTCATCAAAGTCTTCAACAAAAGTTCAATCCACTAAATGGGACTGAAAAGTCGTTGCTTCCAAAATTAAAACCAAGTTGTTGCTTCTATTTTTATTTAAGCGAATAACATATTTTTTTTAATTTAATGATTCTCACTCATTTTTAAAATTTTAATAACTTCAATTAATAAATAATAATATGTTAAGAAAAATTACTTAAAAGTATGTTTTTATACTCCTTTTTAACACTTTTCTGACTTAACATATTGGCTTTTCTTGCCATTCCCAGACACGGATTGCATTATAAATTTTTTAGCAATATTATTTATACAATAATATTCATTATGACCTTTTTATATATATATTTTTTATCATTAATTACATTGCTTATTTTGTTACACATTTATTTTTCCTCTAACTCTCTTCCTTATCTAAATTTTATTATCAAAATGTATCTTATAAATAACATTACTTAAAAAATTTTCCTTTGCAGAATGGATTGTACATAATATTAATTACAATGCTTATTTTTCTTACTGATTCTACAAAGTACAAGGCTAGCTTTTAGGTGTCTCAAAAGACAAAAGATTTGACTTGACCTTGCCAATATGAATTGGATGGAAGAAGACACAATTAACAAAATTGAGAGGTGAGGGAATAAGTATTATTTGGAGTGTGTTGCTTGCAGGGAAAGAAGAAGTGAATTAAGATGGTATTGGAGAGGATTTTAGTGTCTGTAATTAGGGACCAAGATCCTCTTATGTTTACGCACAAACATGAAAATTATGTTAGCCTATTTTTATATTTTTACTTAAATAAAAAAAAATACAAAACATGACTCTCATATAATCTTTTCTCTGTAATTAGTTCCTTATAAGTAATATTTAACAACAGAAACATCAACTTTTGGAGGATTGAATTGAGATCATTGTCTTGTCATGTCAGCTTCGTTTGTGTCCCATCTGATGTCATGAGCAACGGTTAAAACCTCTCTTGCCCCTCACCCATACATTTACCTTTTTGCTCTTCAGTTTACTCCTCTTTAGTGTGTTTTCATGGGGGTACTTAGGGGTAAGGAAATTAGAGAAGTTGAAATATGTATTTCAATAAAAGGAAAGAGAGGGAAAAAAAATTAAAAATGAAAACTGACGAGGCAGTGAATGTGATTTCTTTCTTTTTTTAAAATTTTTTATTTAAAATTATTAAATAATATTTATCTAATATTAAAATTTAAAATATTTTTAATTAAGAAAAAATATTTTAATAATAATTTTAATTATTTATGATAAATTTAATCATTTCATTTATTTATTTTTACTCATTCAAATAAGCAAAGAATTTTTTTTGTTTTCTTTTCTCTTATCTCAATACATTTACATAATACATTTTTAGTTAAGTTCAAATTATATTATCATATTAATTTGTAAAAATTAAAATAGTTTAAAATTTATAAAAGACAAATATAATAAAAATAATAAATACTTCTAGAATTTAATAAAAACTCTTTGTTTAAATACTATTAAAAAAATTTAAAGGAATCTTATGAAAAAGATTAAAAATATACTTATTTACAAATAGATTTTGAAAGCTTCGATTTATTAACAACTTTGTCTTACTAACTAATCAACTCGTAAATAATTTTATCCTATACATGATTAATTTGCATAAACAAAAGCTTTTAAGAAATAAAATAATATTAGCTGCTACATTTAGAGACCATAATATACATCAGTTCCTTGTTCAAACGCATTGTAATGCATTATGTCATCATCTATGGATAAAGCAAATAGTCAGTACCCACTCCAAGAGTGTTAGGATGTTTATATCTACAGACACAAACAAATAGAAGAGGTCTACAATTAGTGACGTAATGTAATAGCAAGACAAAGGTAAAGAGAAAAAAAATAATAAATAAATGTTGATATTATTTAATTATCTAAAAATTAAAATTATTGGATAAAGGAATGTTGCATGACTGTGTACATATAATTTTTTGGAATATTTCATGAATTATCATGGTTATGTTTATCATACTGCATAAGCAAAGCTCTATCAGAATCCATGTCAGAATATAGTTTGTCAGCATGGGCTGGGTCATAACCAGGCCAAGTACAGTCTAAGAGGCTTTGAGCTGTCACTGTCAACTGTTATGCATTGTGAGGAATGTAGATTTCAAAGCCAATTTCCTTATCCAGTTGACTTTTTGGTTAGACATGTCATAACATAACATGTTCAATGAGATAAAGTGGATATCAATTATAGGATGACTGTGGACATTAACTAACGCTCATATTTTGTCAACTTAATCTAACTAAATTTAAACTATCCCAAACCATAACATTAAATTGTACAACACCTAAATTAAATAGAGTTCAAGAAACAATTACTCTTTATGTTAAAATGAAACGAGATAATGAAAGTGTTGGAGATTATATCAACTTAAACAAGAGATGAAAAAACCAATATGATAGCTCTATAGTGGCCCTTCAATTTTTATAGATATATACGGATACCCATATAGAAAGATTAGAAGATTGCCAATTAGCATTTCTTAACACCTTCGAAACACTTAACAATGTATGAGTCGATGCATCACAAAAGTAAATAAATAAAATTAATGAGGCCTTAAAATAACTTACGATTCATAAGTTTATTTCTAATAAGCACAGAGAACAAAATAGACATCGAACATTAAAAGAATGGACATGAGTATACAACATTCTATTCATAATTGCTAAATTGAAAGAGAAGTCATGTACAAAATGTGGGCTCTCTAGACATCTACACAAATTGATCGTGAAACAATGAACACAGCAAATACATAAGAACTTCTAACATTACAAATTACCCGTGTGGTTAGAAATAATTTCTACGTGGAAAAAGCTTTCAGGTCAAATCACCTTAGACGATTGCCCAAAACTTTTTTCTACAAATTAAAACAGTTTCCATTTTCTTGTCTTTGTTCTCTAACAAATGTGACTCCACATCCCACATGAATTTTGGGGCTACATCTTGGATTCTTGATGTAATATCTTCCTCATCCCTAATGATGATAAATCCCTGCAGATAATAAGTGAGCTGAGTTATTAACCCCCCACAGAAAAAATAAATAAAAAATGAAAGTTATGTTGCAACATAAAGAACGAAAAATTCAGGGATAGAGAAATTATGAGTACATTTGATAACTTTACATAGGTGAAAGTATAACTGAACAAATAAGCACTATGAGCCTATTTGAAAGAACTTATGAACAGTTTATAAAATTATTTGACTCAACCTATTTTTAACATGTTTTAACAAGCTTCTTTGTACAACTTGTCAAAAAAAAAAAAAAAAAAACTATTTTCAGCTTATCCTAATAAGTGTTATCTTTAAATTTATGGCATAAGTTGTCATTAAAAAAAGATTATTGAATAAGCGCTTAAATAAGTTGAATATTCAAAGCACCCTATATTGATACCAATATTATGCAACAATAAATTCTACAGTCTTGTAGCATAAATTAATAAATAAACAAATGAAATTGATCAATATTATGCAACTATTTATTCTTCAATCTTCTATAACATTAATTTGTTTAATCAAATGACAATGGGAGGAAACTTTCAGGCTTCGTATTTCTCCAAATTACATCGATGCATACAATCATGCATGCTAGAAAACAGATTTGTATAAGCTTACAAGCATTGAAGTTAGATTTGACCAAAAATCTTATTTTCATTTCAACACATTAACTTCTACTTTGATTTCATTAGCAAAGTGATTACCAGTGGCCTTATAAGACGATCCATCTCCAGTATCATGTCCTCCAATAAACAACCTTCCCCTTGTGCTTTGTAGTGAGAGAAGAGGTAGTTGGCATGCAAAAGATCATATGTCCTAGGGTAACTTGAAAATGGTTCACACCTAATGTAAAGTTATCATCCACATTAGCTACAGTCAACTAATAATAATTATAAATACGTGTTAATAAAGTGTTTACTATTTAGAATATCACTTGCATAGTCTTACCAATCATGAAATGTTCCAATCAGTCCCCGGTCATAAATTCCAGATAAAGTGTTCTTCATGCTTGCAGGAACTACATTCATTACCCAAACAGGGAATTTATTTAGTGCAACAGCAAATCCACCACAATAGGCATTCATATCCATCACATTGCGTATTTCTGTCTCCTTTACATTCATCATTCTCCAGTAATGACCAATTTGTTCTTGCCAGAAGAGTGTATCTGAAGTAAATTCATCTTGATTTATACCTGTTGTTAAAAAGGTTAAAGGGTCATTAGACAGAAAGTGATTGAGTGTACCACAGTAGGGCTTGATTTATCTTATAATTTCACTTGAACAGTTAAACAATAGTAGTCCTTTTGTTTTAGATTGTATTAATTCTTACCAACCCCACTCAAAACCAGGGCACAGACCACAGAATGTCTTTCTTTCTATATTAATATGTCATTAATATATACACGATCCTATAAGAATACTTTCATTATAGACAACAAGGAGAAGGGTACAAATATGGCACAGTTTGGATAAACTTCTAAATAACTTCTTATAGGAGAAGATAACCAATATAAAAAATTGAATAAAACTTATAAGTTAAATGCAACTTATATTCCTTAAGTTTTAAAGAAGTTAAATAAGAAAGCTTATATATAAAATAAATATACATAAGTTGATTTTAACTTATGGGAGGGTATAAATACTTATTAATTTATCTAATATGAGTCTATGTGTCTGTCACTGATAATATTATTTTTATTCAGGAAAATAACAAAACATCTCCAAGTTACCTTGATCCTACACCTCAAACCTATTTTTCTTTTGTTTATCATTTATGCAACTATGTTTTCACCTAACTTGGAAGATTCTGGACAAAACTATTCACAGCTTGAGAAAAGCTAGCATTAAAATAATATTAACTAATGATGTTCCCACAATGCAACCCAAAGATAATGTTAGTAAAGCTAATATCTTCTATGCTGCAGATTGTGCATTTGATTAAAAGCTAGGACCTGAATATTATCTACAGCTATTTGCAAGCCCTTTTGGATTGGATAATAACAAATCATATGCATCATGAAGCATAAACATTGAAATCACAGTCATGGAAATTTCTACCGGTGATGATATATGTTGCTAACTGATATTTGTAACCAAAACCATCATTTAAGGCCACTTGAATCTGTGTGCACATGCATGCGTGTGTGTGAGCAGGGATCACTACCAGAAAGGTTGGAAAAGCATAATTTAGGAATAAGTTAAGTGTAAAATATGGAAAATGAAAATTAGCTTCTCACACTTGTACAAAAGAGTATGAGCAGACCTATCATGTTAAGCTTCTCAGAAAACACTGAATGCCGCTCGAGACTAGGAGGAAACTTGTAAGAATCTGTTTTAGAATTTCTAACTTGTACACAGTTCTTAAGTGGGATCTTCCATGAAGGTTTAGTATCATCAGCAGGATTGCAGAGGTTTATAAGCTTTTTATCTGCATTGCGCAGAAGGCATGACTGGTCATTTTCTTTAATCCATATTGCTGTCTGAACTTTACGAGCAATGAGTCTCCAACACATTGCTGTAGTCAAATTCACCAACTTATCCCAAATGACAGGAAAATCTTTAACTTTTTTATAAGCAGGTGGAGCCGAATAAACAAAGTATCCATTAGGGCGAAGAAGGCGATTCACCTCCTTCAGTAAAATCCCATCTACAGCAAACAAAATAAATTGACACAAAACAAACCTGTTAGAATAACATGCAGTTCATATATCACATGTTAAATGAGTTCATGCAGCACATGTTAAATGCATTTAGTTTTCGTAGGAACTATCATTCAGGATGTATCACCCATTTACTCTGCCTAGGAAATAGTCCCCAATTTAGTTGATAGAATATGGAGTCTATATGTTTATTTGCTTTACATATCCTACGAACTGTACAATCAATCAATTTCATTACAGAAATTTCATCTTATCTCCCCCTTTCTATTTCTCTCTCTCTAAATTCAGCAAAGTCCAATCAGATATGGCTAAACTCACCAGCTTTTGTAGCTTTGACAAGTATACCATGCATCTATTGTACCAGTTATCCAGATTAAATTCATAACAGAAATAACGAATAGGACCAATTGGGCAAGGCTTGGGCACCTATTCTACCGGGTCATGCTATAAAAATAAAAAATAAAAAAATGAAAAAAAGATGATTATATGATGAAAAGAATGCATCTAATTCTAAGCTATACAAGTCAAGTTAGATTGTGAGTAATGATGTAAGCACTTACTAAATTATTTTCCCATTTCTTTTACTTTCCCTTGATTGCTTACCACTGAATTATTAAAAACAAGCTATAATGCAAGAAACAAACTTCAATCATAGGTTTGTTCTAGAAGGTTAAAATATATATTTAGTCTATGTAGCTGATACTCGTTTACAAATTTGACCCTATACTTCAACTTCTTTTTTTTACATTTTAGTCTCTACTTGTGTGTTTAGTCATATTTTATTTCCAACTGTTAACAGTATTATAACAGCAGAGATCAAAACATAATAAAACACTTGTATTGGGACTAAAACACAAGTTTTTTAAATATAGAGACTAATTTGTATACATAGTCAACCATTGGGACCAAATACATATTTTAACAATAAATAAAAATTAATTTTTGGTAGACTTGTTAAGAAAAAATAAAGTATGCGGTATCAAATAAAAAAATTGTGAATTTTGAAAATACTAAAAACTTAAATATTTTAATCAAAGATAATTATTATAGTTGAAAAATATTAGTTATACCTAAATATTTTTTTAAATTGATAGAGAAAGAACCATCAATTAATAAAATTGAGTAGATGCACTAAAAACTGCTTACGTATATTATTATGATAAAAAAGTTAAGATGTGTAATAAAGTTAATCTTCTGAAGTTTTGACCAACAATGTAGTTTCATATTCCAAAGAAATAAATACATTTTTTTCTTATAAAAAATTCTTTGATCTTTTTAGAAATTAATATATCATATAGAAAATATATTATACATAAATTAAGATAGTTATGTATGCAAAAAACTATAATGAAAATATTAAAGATGATACTTTATTCATTTCTCTTAAGATAATATAAAAGGTAAAACTATAAAATAAAAGAAAAGTCTTTTAGTTAAGAATCAAGTATGTTATGAAGATGATATTGAGTATAATATAGGTCTTCTCTCAACCAAATTTTATACTTTTAAAAAAATTATAATTAGTTAAAATGCACATTTAATCTCTAAAGTTAAAACTCATTTACAAATTAGTCCCTATATTTAAAATATTTATGTTTTAGTTATTATATATATGTTATATTATGTTTTGATTTTTTCTATCGTTAATTTTGTTATAACAGTAGAGATTAAAACATAACAAAATGCTCGTATAAGAAATAAAATGTAAGTTTTTTAGGTATATGGACTAATTCATTAATGAGTGTCGTATATTTTAACTCAACCTATTGTTCAAACTTCAAAACTCCACAACTCAACTCCTTCAACTAATTAAATTATGCATCTCAATAGGGGTGTTTCCAGCACATACACAGGGATCTAATTTTGAATTACATGGCAATATTTGTTAAGTTTAGGGAATCAAGTTGTTGAGTTTTTGAACCCCTAAAGTTTTCTGAAAATGAACATTGAATAGCTCACATTTTAGCCTGAAAAATAGAGTGTTTTAAAGTCTCATTTAGAAAATATATTTGTACAGGAAGGGACATATAACAGAAAATTGCACTTTGCACAAACCAGAGTAAAAAGATGTTAAAATGGCACACATCCTTCAACTGGTTAACATTAGTTATAATTTAGAATGGGGACTCCAAAAAAATCATTGGAAAGTCATGCCAACACCTTGTAAGGGACATATCTCAAACAAAATAACTGAAATCAATTTTAAGAGAAACAGACTTATAAAGAGATGCTATGCACTGATCAGCTTGTGAATAACCTAATCAATAACTTTTAACATGGTAAAGCAGAAACAAAATTGAACAACAATAGAGCACAGCATTAATACATAAATAGGGAGTATAGTGGCATTTTGGTTCCTAATAATGTCACAATTCAGTCCTTAAATTATTCAAACTTGTTTCAAGTTAATCTTTTTGCTGTCTTGAGTACAGATTAACATGAAGCAAGTTTGAATAATTAAAGGATGAATCCTATACATAATTCATATCAAGGACTAAATTGTAAGGGAGGCAGTGACACATTTTCAAGATATACCATTTTATTCAAATTCAAAGAGAGTAAATAGATCACATTGCCTCTTCATTTATTGTCCACTACATATAAAGTATGTTTTCAGCCAATATATACAACTATTCCAATGTGAAAATTATATGCAGTGAACATTATAAGGAAAGCCAATTACCATGTTCATGAAAGTCTATTCGGCATCGTGAACAGTGAATCATTTCAAATGATTCACTGGGATATGGTAGTTGTTTTGTTGACAAGGCAGAGATCATTGTGCTGATTCCTCGTTCTAATGCAAATTGAATCTGATTTTCATGACCATCCTTGGGGGCAAAGGACATTGTCCGAATATCCATGGGAAGAAGATAAGCTGAAAAACTGGCCACACCACAGCCAACATCGAGAACTTGAACTACCCCTGCAGAACGTAGATCACCAGTCTCATTTGTAATCATATGTCCTAACCTGTATCCATCAAACCATTAAATGGCCAGCAACTATGTCTTTCATTATTCAATTGAAGGAAGTATGCCAAGAATCAAAGCATCCATTAAAAAGAAAAGGTGAGGAAAAGAAAACAGTAAATAGCATCATTAGAAAACTGATGAAGTGATGAACTACTCACACTACACAAACACCATGCTCATGTTATTTTGGAGAATCAAGCAACATAATTAAACTATAGGTATAAATGATTAATAAACAATGATATCAACATAATAAATCATAAATATAATTTTACATCCAAAACCCTTCCAACCAGATGGGCTTGTCTAAATGGATCAAACAACACCATTGTGTTTTGTCAAAAACCAATTTTTCATAGAGGCCATTGAAATCTATAACCCTTAATGTGCATCTGGTTTCAGCCTGTTTCATTAACACTAAACAATCACAGATTTCAACAAAGCTATGGCTTGGATATATGCTGCAATTTACATATAATAGACTACTTTGTGGCTGTAAATCCATAAGCCCAAAGTAAAGTCTTGAAAGCATAGACAGTTAGTCATTCCATTGGCCCCATTACTTTTCCTTGATTAAGTTGATTCCTATGACAATTTTCTCAAAATGATCACATCCTTGGGGTGGCGTTAAGTCTAAGAATTTCAGTTGAATTCTTCAAAAATCTCATATTCCTTTCACATGAAATCCTACAAGAAATTTATGTACCAGACAGAATTCAAAATGATAAAAACAGAAGTTCATGTTTATCCATGATTGATCTCCCTCTTGACTTTCAAGAGTTAATGCCAATTTGAATTAAGAGAAAACGATAGGGAGGAATAAAAAATTTCAAAACTTAAAGGATTTTTAATTGTTTGGTTGAAGAGAAAGTTATGGAAGAAAGTAATTTCTAAAAATTTAAAATTTCTCTTCAGTTTAGATTTCAAAATTTTCTATCCTCTTTCATATCCTTTCCTCTCATCTAAGGTCTTATACATTGCAGTTGCATCATGGTTGCAGCTGCAGAGTGGCCATCGATCGCAAGCTAATGTGGACCCAAGATATTGAAATGAACATAAGCCATATATGATTACATCTTTGAAGATTACAACCATAAACCAGGCAGTCACATCTTTTTCTGTTTAGCAGCAGTAAATTTGTCACATTTTCTTAGTATATCTATTACTAATTCAATAAGATCAGTGAGAACTATTTATTTAGTTTCCCAAAGAACTGAACCACAAGTTCTGATTGAAAAAAAGAAAAACCTATATTCAAGAAACTTATGCTCAAATTATTTGCAGAAGAAGCAACCTCTAGATAAGGAATTCTCTGTAGATCACAGCATTAGGTCGTTCAGTGTATTAAAATGAGTTATGAGTTAACATTTAGCATTTTCTATTATAGACTGATAGATCATATGTTCACTTGTTCTCTCCACATACTCAATCCTAGATGCTCAAATTCTTGGTAGAAAAATCTACTCAAAGGAAAGAAGAATTTCCCAGTGGATAATCACCAGAATTAACGGTACTAAAATGAGATTAAATTTGATATATAGCAAATTACCATAGATCATATCTTCACACAAAGCCATCCTCAGCCCAATTTTTAAAGTTGTTCCACACATGGATATTTCTTATCAGAAAAATTAAATGAATAATAGTTGCCAATGTAACTAGAAAAGCTAATAAAATCATAAAAAAAGAAACAAAGAAAAAAAAAAAAAAACCAATTCTAAAATCAGCATGTTCCACAAAGAAAAAGAAATATAGTGAACTTAAATAAGTCAATTGTATATACCTCTCTATGTATTCAGTAGCCCCATGCTTGAAATGGGTACCACCTCCCGGAAACCACCAGAGCTGATCCTTCTCATGGACCCAATTTTGGCCTCCCTTGACTTCTGCAAGATGTGTATGATTCACATTACTTCGCCAAATATAATCTCTGCTAAGAGGCCACTTGATAGGTATTTTATAATCCTTCGGCGGAGGAACCAAGCAAAACAAGCGCTTTTCAAGTGGAGGACAGTGTCTCTCCAGTTCTTCTTTCCTAGAAAAATCAAGGTTTGGAGCCAATGTTGCCACATAAGATACATCGTGACACGGAATATACTCATTGAACATCAAAGGACACACATCCACCCCAGTTTCTGGAATTACAAGGGGAGTTTTCCGGTATGTCAAAACAACTTTGTTAGAAAAATTGGTAGTACCTGTGAGAGTGAAAAATACATTGTATATCAGCCACAAAGTAGCAATCTGAAACTGCAAGTTTTAATAAGCCACCGACACTTCACATATCCCACAAAGAAATGTAATTTAACTACTGTTTGCAACTCAACCAAACTGGTGTACATCCATGGCATATAATGCAGTTGCCATTACATAGAAAATACAAATTAATTGAATTGGACAGCTATAAAATCATTCTAGGAAGAGCTAACATGCTACTCTTCAATACTCAATTACTTGAATCTTAAAGTTTAAAAATACTGAATGACGCAGATAGCTTCTAGCTCCTACCTCAGTTAGGCCTCAACATTAATTAAATAAGCAACCTAATGCAGGGATTAATTGCATATCTCCAATAAACTTAATGCTGGTCAATATTAAAGTGATTTTCCATATAAAATTATAATTTTGATTGCAGATCAGTGAAAAAAGTACCAAGGTACAGTAAATAGGTTATTTTCTATTTTAGAAATATAAGCAATCTAGAGAAACTGAAGTTCGAAACTAATAGAAGTTGATGTGAAACCCAGAAAGCAAAAAGCAAAAATTTTGCAAGAAGGGGAAAAAGGGTAACAAGGGAAGAAGAGAAAAAAGGAACTTTGAAGTTGAGGAGAGGCGAAGGGGGTTACCATTGGAAGAGACATTGTTAAGAGGAGAAGAAGAAGAAGAAGAAGAATGAGAGGTGAGGTTTGAAATGTAAAGGGGAGCATTGTTGCCAAAAAGGGTGCCAACATAAAAAGAAACAATCATCGAAAGCAAAGCAGCCATTATAATCTTCCCAGATTTGGAATCAAAGGCAGAACCCATGGCAAAACCTCCCATTGTTGTTGTTTCCTTTTTCACTGTCTAAGTTGGATTGATTTCCTTCGTAATTTCGGAGAGAAAGAAAACAAAGAGAACGGTGAATCAGTGCAAGAGAGAGAGAGAGATAGAGAGGAGCTTGGAGTTGCGCTAACAAGCCTTTCTTTCCCGTCCAAGTTTCAGATCGGTGATATTTTTTTTTATTTTGGCTTTGTATATATATAGAGATTTTTATTTTTATTTACTTTTGGCTTTTTCTTTATCTTTTTCTTTGTTCTGATTCTTGAGATTGCTGAGGGTTCTTCTAATCTTCTTCTCAAAGTTAGTAATATTTATAGTGAATAGTGAAATTTAGAGCTAAGTGGCAACAGATGGCGCGAGAAAAGCACGTGGCTTGCAATCTTTAACTCATTTGTTAGCTATTTATTTGCATCTCGCTTTATCAGTTATTCTAGTTAACATTAATAGTTTTAGTTCAATTTAAGTCAGGTCTACCTAATTAGTGGTGGTACTAGATAAAAAAAAAAGTTTAAAAGAGAAAATCTTTATTAAAAATTATATTAGAATGCTTTAGAAGATGTAAAAGATGATACAATAATATTTTTTTTAATTTTGATTTTTTAAATAGTATCTTTATGAGTACCGGTTAATATTTTTTATTTTTCTAATATAATATTTATATTTTAAACAAATAAAAGTTATTAGTTTTTATTAAAAAAAAAAGGTATTCATTATATTTTTTATATTTAATGTAAAAAGTATTTCTTTTTTAATAAAATTAATCTATTTTATTTTTTTAAATCATCTTTAAATATTGTTGTTAAAATTTATTATTATTAATTGGTATCAAAAATACATTTATCAATTTTATTAACATCAATTCTTAAGACTAATTTTAAGCATTTAAAAGTATTGCATTTTCATTTAAGAAATATATATTTTATTGCACTTTTATATTTATTACTTTACTGTTTTTAATGTTTAAAATTAATTATAAGGATTGATGTTAATATTTTTTATTAATTTTTTAAATAAAATTTTCCTATATTATGGAGTATTAATTAATAAACATAAATACATATAATATCTTAACATATACAAATTATTCAACTTAAATAAATATGTAAAATTAATTGTAGTTATAATTTAAAAAATTAAATGAAAAGAAGTATTTTGAAATATAAATAGTTGAAGTTTGATACAAATAAAAATATTATATATATATATATATATATATATATATATATAAACGAGTTAAAATTTTAGAAACAAAAAACAAACATTAATATAAAATAAAGAATAAATCACTTAACACAAAAAAAATATGATAATAAATGTTTTCATCTTTGAAAATGAATATATATATATATATATATATATATACACCAATGTAAATTAGAGACACTCACAACTAATAGTATTATATTAAGATTCAAGACATAACATGTTAGATTTATTATGGAGAGAAGAAAGCATATTAAAATCATTCTATAGTTATAAAGAAATTCTCCAATGAGTTTGCCTTTTGTACCAAAAGAAGATCACTGCTGGGGAGTGAAACTAAAGTTTATATATTCATGCTTCTTGAAAAACTTTTTCGGATTCATTAAGTTGGAGTTGTTCTTTTGATTTAAAATATATAACATTTTCTTTTTGTCCTTCACGTGAAGATGATGTAGAGTATTATCACGTTAAGATTATAAATTTTAATTATAGTAGAATTCGGTATTAATCGATTCTCAATGTAATGTGCTTTACTTGGAAAGATAAAATTTCATAATTAAAAGAAATGACGTAAAGTTACTAAATTGGCAGTTAGGATTTTTTTTTTCATGTTTCAAATTTGTAATGTTATAAATTTTTTTCGTAGTTAATAATTTATTGTTACATGAATTGATAAGATTGATATACATATCGTATATTTATTATAGTATATTCAAATACATTAAATATTACGTGGATACAAAATCAATGATACTATAAGAAAGTATTTTATTTTTAGGATATGATTATGCTAAAACAAAGATGAAAAAGTATTACTAATAGAAGTTGGTGAAATAACAAGCGGTTCGTCGTGCGATTTATGTCGGATTCAGATTAAATTAAATAAAAAAATAAAAAATATTTCAAATTTTAATAAATATAACAAAGTATTAAATTATATGGATTTAAATGAAAGTTAGCATATTTAGTGAGTATAGCCAGCATTTTAACAATGAAGTCGTAAAGCTTATATTGGATCGACAATAAAGAGTTACAACGAAGCATTATATAGTAAATTTAAAAGAAGAGTATTATTCAAAGCATTTCAAAGGCCTTTGAGAACTTTCTTAGCATGTCAGGATAAGAATGGAAAGCTCCAATTAAAGACATCAAAGCAAAGAAATTGGACTTGAAATAGCGTTTTTGGCATGAAAATTAGGATCGATGTACACTTGCACTAAATATATGATTCAAACGTTTATTCTTCGTTGTATCTTTGAGGAAGAATCAACTCTATCTTCAACGGCTAAAAAATGTTCATGCTAAAAATACTAGAAAGTGAAGTTAATAATAGGGATACACTCATGAATGCATTCATTTATTCTTATTCCACAAGTCATTATACAGTTAATATAAAAACATTCCTTCATTAATTATTTATGGTTGAGCTTAGCTTGTATAAATTTAAGATAACATATTTTTTACTAAGAAATTAGGGAGGGAAGTCTAAAATTACATAAAATAAGAATAGTTGTAATTTAAGCTCACAAGTTAAATACGGTGAGAAAACTTTATTATTGTAAAGTTGAGTTATAGTAAGAATTTTGACTACAAATCAATGAGTAGATGTGTCTTGATCTTATAGAGTGAACCTATTTAAATAATATTATGTACTCTCTCACTCTCCTTTATTGCTCTTTTACTATCTTTGTAGAGACTTGAGACTTTATCTTTCATAAAAAATAATTAAAGTTTTTTTTAGTTTTTGAGTTCAAAGTTGTTTCTTTTTAAATCAACTTGGGGTATGTAGTGGTATTCTATCTTTTCTTTAAAATATTATTTGGGCTTTTTTACTATAATAAACTAAAATAAAATCAAAATTATATAAATATCTTAAAATAAAAAGAATTACACAAATGTTCTGTTTAGCATTTGAAAGAAGGTAATTTAAAATAATTTACTCTAAATATAAAAGACGATTTGAATCAACTTCAGCTTGCTGTATTATTTTTTTCTAAAAAAATCAATTTAAATTAGCTTTTGTTTGCTATATTTCTTTCTATAGAAGTTGATTATAATCAACTTTGATGTTGTATGGAAGTCGATATAAATCGACTTATGAAATGAAATGCTACTCTTCCCATGCATTTATTGCAAAGAAATCTTAGAATTCAGCCGCATTCAAATTTTTAAAGTTAGAAATGGTCCACACGTTATGCATATAATCTTTCTCTATGCAAACCCCAATTTTACTTTACGGTATATATTCATTTTCCCATGCACATGCTTGTGTTCATGAGATAAGGTACTTTCAATGTAACATCAATGTTCTTTGCTTAATATTTAGTTACAAATTTCCATTCCAAAGTAAAATAAAGAAACAAGAGGCTCTTGCATTAGGAAGAATGATCGTAAAAAAACAAATTTCTATTTTTTATTTTCTTGCTAGGTTGATTTAGCTTAGCTTAGTGCAGGAGTTTAATGTGAAACTAAAAAATATTCTCATTTTATTCTATTAGTTCGAATCTATTTAAGTTGTCTTTTCTGCTAATGCCTTTTATGGGCTCACCAGTGTGAAAGTCAATAACACTTACTTGTCTTCTAAGGAGCGATACAATATGAGAATCAACAGTCGAAGCTGAATCCACAGCAGAAGTTACTAGGACAAGAATGGAACTTCTATATATATATATATATATATATATATATATATAAAGACAATAACTCAGAAGTGACTCGCCTAAGGTGCACAGTAGGAGAAAAAGGAAAGTCTTTAAACCGGGATACCATAAATCCGTTACGACCTGTTTTATGAGATTTTTAATACCTTTGAAAGAGTGATGTCATACTTTATTTATGTTGATTGAAACCCAAATCTTATTGAAAAAGAACATATTATTAATCAATGTATTCCTGCTGCAGTGCAAAATGGCTCCTCCACCAAAAAAGAGAAAATGATCTCTTTTTTATTATGATTCCTAACAAAATTATATCAAGATAACTATAAAGTGGATTTAAATTGACTTACGCATAATACTAAAATCAATTAGAATCAATGTCTATAGTAGCAAATATAATATAATATCAGTGAATTAAAGTCAATTTAAATCAACTTTTTTAAAAAAAATACAATAAATTAAAGTTAATTCAAATCGTCTTCTATATTCAAAGAAAATTATTTTAAATCATCTTCTTTCAAATGCTAAATAAGATATTTCTATAAATTTTTTTATTTGAGGACATTTATGTAATTTTGATTTTATTTTAATTTACTATAGTAAAAAAGCTCATTATTTAGTTTTTTAAAAAGAGTTTTCAAAGGTTTAACAAAATAAAATAAAATAAAGCTCAATTTATATTTTCTTATTTTTTTAATCAATTTTTTTTACTAGATGTTAGATATTAAATTTAACAAAATGATACATTTAATAACTCATTATAAATATTAAATTAAATAAAGCATATTTTAATTGATATAAATATTACTGAAATTGATTTTAGTCTTCAAAATTTGTTTTGATATCAAATCTTAAAACTTTTAAAAATAATTTTTATTATAACTTATTATTGATGTGAACTTATATATTATGTCACTTGTCACCGTAAAATAGTTGCGGATATAATGTGATTAAGTATATGATTTGGAAGACCAAAATCCAAATTTCATCTTATTTAGATGGAATAATAATATATTCAAGTTTATTAAATTTTATTAATTTATCATTGAATCATAAGGTATTATTCTAATAAATTAATTATGCATGTCAAATTTTAGATAATTCAAACATTTTTGAAAATATAATTTAATAGTAAAACTACAAATTTAATTGTATTTTAAATAATATATCATATGTTAACATAAAGTACTGTAATAAAATATTTTTAGTTTTTTTATAAATAAATAATTCATCAATATTATTAAAAATCAATTATATATTATAGATAATCAAATTTGTAACTTATACATTAAATGAATATATTCTCTTGCA